AAAAAAAAATAAAAGTGAAATTACCTTCGTTAGGCACGTTATGCACTTCTTTATAAAACCTTTGTACTCGTATGTTTATTTTTGCTTTATTAACATATTGACGTTTTTAACACTGCGCGGTTAACTAACCCAAACTTCAAAGTATTAAGAGGTACAAAAACCAATTAATGGATTTGGTTAATCTAAAGGTTCAGTGATTACTGAAGTTTAGCTACATTATTTGAATTGCTAAGTACCTACTCTTACTAATTGGAATTTGATAAAATTTAATTATTTTTCTCTCGAAATAAATTGCAAATTTCAATGGTTTCAGAAGTATCTCGTTGGGTGAAATGTTAATTTATTTGGAATAAGAAAATGTCCGTTGCAAAATGAAAATTGTAAATAACCTAGATCAGTAAAAAAGGATTTCTAATAAATATTATTTATGACACAAGAAAATTCTCTTACATTATTATATTGGCAATAATTTAAAAATAATATATTGAATGTGTTGATATCGCTTTATGCGATGCATCATTCTTTTTTATGCTTTCTTCTTGTATTGTGGTCTAGTCAGAATTTTCTGTATAATACACTTTCTTTATATTTTATTATATTATAATACACTGTATACATGCCAAACCGTGATCGATACTGTCTTGCCCCTATTGTTAGTGCTGTTGACAAATCGATCTCGTGCCATTATGCGGAGATGTTTTTTAAGCCCTCGTCGTTTTAATCGTGACTAACTGGCAGTGAAAAAAGAAATATCGTTGGGTATAAATAATGTATGAAACCTATGTGCGGTAGGTTTTCGAGTGTCTGGCGGAAAAGAACCCTAAAGAAAAAACGGTTCGGCAATCAAAAAGAACGGAACTGAGAAATTTAGTGGCGCCGCTGGATGATTATTTTATAAAAATCAGTATGCACAGTGTGTTGAAACCATACTAGACGATGCGTGTCGGAAAAATTGCTCAAGGGCTAAAACTATTTTATTAAATTTCAACAGCAATAAGAATATCTATTTACGACAAATAAATACTTGTCTTATGAATCCTTTACAAACGGAACGGTATAAGAATTTGTTATGAATGAATCATAAAAACTGGTTATCATTACTATAGTTGTTGGACAACTATGCAGTGAAAAATTACGCTTAAAATGAAAATTTTTAATTTTCCAATACCGTTGTCAAATGTCTCGGAACGTTTAAAATACAAATAAATGATCACATCGATCCAAACACAACTATTATAATGTAATGCGATAAAATGAGCGGTTTTAAAAATGTAAATACACGACGTGCGTTCACATCGCGTACACACTATCGGCTAAAACCCTCAGGTTCGTTTACCGTGTTTGCCGTTTCAGNGTTCGTTCACCGTGTCCGCCGTTTCAATATTTTCATGGATCACAAATGATTAAGAAAGACGTGATAGGTTATGTCGTCTTATGGACGACATGTTTTTCTTCTCTCTAATATAAAGCTATATGAATTTCGTGATGCATAAATTTATATATTAATGAACTACGTTAAAAAACATGCACGGAGGCCAAACATACTCGCGCCCGAACCAATTGAATCGCCGAGAAAATTGAACCAAGGACAGAACTTAAATATCTACTGCTAATACTCAGCACATTCGCATACTATAAAACAAACAACAATTTATATGTTTATATTTGTTTTCTTTTTTTATTGTCAAACTCAGAAAATTATAATTTAANCAGAACTTAAATATCTACTGCTAATACTCAGCACATTCGCATACTATAAAACAAACAACAATTTATATGTTTATATTTGTTTTTTTTTTTTTATTGTCAAACTCAGAAAACTATAATTTATATCATTCGTTAGCAAATTGCAAACCAACAAATTTTCATCTGTGTAAAATAAAACAAATGCCATACCAAATATTAACATGCTAAATGTTAATATTAAATAAATAAACGTTATTTAAGCGTGTTAAGTTCTACTACAACAATTTAAGGTGACTAAAACTTCTATTAAATAGGCCAAATCCTTCACTAGTGCTCCATTTTCGCCTGTTGTTTGACTGTTCTTGTGAATAGAAAATCTACAAAACATACTATTCAATTCAATTTAAATAATTTCAAAACAGGAATACGAAGCACAAATATGCAAAATAATTATTTTGTATAAGTTGTGAATTACATTGTATAGTCGAGAGTAGAATTCATTAACAAAGTTAGTGCAATACTCGTTAAGCAGCAACCGCTAAAATGAAAATCTTAATAATAAAATAAAACTTGATCAGTAAAACATAGCGCGTTCTGACAAATCTGTATTTATGGAGAATTGTTTAATATTCAAACGAGGAATAATAATTATAAATTACAGATTACAATCACGTCACAAAATGTACGATGTAGAACGGTCCGAAATTCAATCGACAACAAAACTTTGGTAAATCCCCATACTTTAATAAGTCACTTAATGCTCGCACTTTTATATTATTTTTTAGTAAAATAAATATGTAGGCGAATCGTACATTTTTTGTATTTTTACTTTTTATTATCCGTAAAATCAATTCTTCTAGATTTTTAACGAGAACTTTTCATGTGAGTCACTGACCATTAAAGAACTTTCAATATGAAAATTTGTATTATTTTTGAATCCAAATCACTTTGACATAGATCTCGAAATGTTAACTTAGTCAAACATATATCAAAATATTTTGAACAAATTTTGACTTGAATTACTGATGTACTGTTAGATAAACCGCTACAATAAATTTAAATTTCATGTCTACTTGAACATCAATGAAAATGCCCTTAGCGAGGACCGTTAATGTTCACCTTCCATCGAAGGTGCAACCTTTGTGAATGTTTTGCTAATTCTTTGTTTAGCGAACTACAGTCATAATACAACCCAAAAGAAACAAAGTCACTTCATAAACTCTATGGCCAGCATATTTGTTTATGGTTTGGTTAAACACAAAGTCAATATTAAACGTTAAAAGTTAAAATTGAAATTTAAAGAAGTTATTAGAACACTGTATTATAGTAATATTAAATACTACTCAATATTTTTGACACTTCCAAAATGTAATAATATAATACATTAGAGAACTGTTTTACTACTTTAATAAGTACTCGCAAAAACCTAATTGCTATTTATATGTATTTTGCTCTAATTAATTAATATACCTTTAAACTACTGAATTTGTTAATAAATATTTTATTATTTTATTTATACATCTACAAATATATAAAATAAATAAATTATATTTACAATATTTTTAACTTTTCGTCTACGTTAGGAGTCCCTTAGATCCTTTCCAATTGGATTGTGGACTTGAAATCCATAAAGCAGCTTAGAAGAGATGTATGTTTTTCTTTTCACAATTATTATGTTTGAAAATGTAACTCTAAATAATATGCCAAATTTTGAATAATACGTTTTATGATTAATTAAAAAAATACTAATTTATTAATTTAACTTAATTTTTGTGACGGGTATAATAGAGTCTATCCATAGATTTCAAAATTACAACACTAATATACTACAATAATAATTATGTCTATGAGTACATCTGTTTATAAATTTAAAAATTCTGTACGGTATATACTTTTATATATATATATATATAAAGCTATTTAGCTTTTTTTTTTATCTAGTAATATTATTTTTTCTTAATGCCAAAATTAACTACCATGTGTTAAAAACATTCCATCGTTAATTAAAACAAGTATTTTGACCAGTTTTTAAATAATAACGGTTTTGGATTTGCCAATGTCCCGATGACATTGATATAAATCCATTGTACGGTGTGATATAACGGCAAAAGAAACCAATCCATTGTCACAATGATGTCATTTATTGTCGTTAAGCGCTGAAGAAGAATCATTCTAGAGGGTTCACTCGATGACATAGAAAGCCTTACCGAGTACGTTACCCGTTGTCAACATAAATCACTAATTGTGCCACTATAGTTCTATCTAGAACACTATCTAGAGTAGGACAGTAATTTATTTTCTGATTTTCACCATGCACATTTTATGATGTCTGTGATTTATTATTTCGCCCCAAGATAAATCTGATTATAAACAATAATATCATTAATACAGTTAGAAATTAATGAAAATGTATATTTTAAAATTCACAAACAATATCATTCATCCAGACTGTGAATTATTGTCAATGTTGATTTCGTGCCGGATGAACTGCAGAGACTTCACAAAAACAATAATTTCAATAAAAAGTAGACGACTGTGAATTTATTGAACCCTCCCAAGTTTACGTCAGGTACCTTTTGACTATTATTTTACATAATATTCCAACGTCAAAATTAGGTAACGCCTCAACCAAACTATAGAAAAACTATTATAATGTGTGAATAATATATAACAGGTAGGCGATTGCCATCTTGGCGGTTGATAACGACTTTTTGGTGTTATGTTAATCAGTGGAAAGTGAAAGTCGTTTACTTTTACTTAGAGGGCACAAGTTCTAGCTTTCCATTTAGAAGTAATGCGTACACGTGTTTAGTTCACTTAGATCACTCACAAAAACTACTTTTGGCTAAATGGATGCTCGCCTTTTTTCAAACTTTTATAATATTACGTTAGACGCATTGCTGAAAACGCCAAAAAGTTTACTCGCTTCCAATGTGAATTCTCGTGATATTCCCAACGGTTTCAATAACCTATATGACCTACGTGAGTTCCGATAGATTGCTCTTCAAGCACTTGATCTAAACGTCTCCTTTAAACGTTTCATATTTAGTGTGCTTACCCAGAATAATAATATTTCATCAATAAGACAACACGACTGTTCTTTTAAAGATCAGCTGACATATTAGTATGTTTACTACACAAAAACAATTTTCTCATCTCAAAGTGAATAAAATATTTCATTTTAAAAGTCGGACTTGTTGATTATGGTTCTTCTTCAATTAATAGAGTTTTCATTAGCCATATGAAGTTTTCGACATTTAAAGCGTGTTTTCTTCTACTATAGCTGCTAAATAATATTTATTTTATATTTTCAGATTCAAATACAGCCAGTCGAACATACTCGGTGGTATGGTGTATCGCAGCGACCTACTGGATCATCAACTTTGCAGTTTACTAAACAGAAACTGTTAGAAACAAATGACCACTCGTGTAACATTGTCATTTGAACTAAACATTATAGTACTATAAGTTCATGTAGAATTTTTCATTATATAATGTTGAACAACTTAACAAAATATTAATTTTACTACCCGTTTGTTCACAATGCAAATACTTCGTGGACATTTCTTAGATTATGCACTTGGTCTCGATAAATTTTCCTTAACTTACGATAATTCAACACTGAGATGTAAATTTTACTAAAAAATACCAGTATCGAGTTTTCATTTAAAAAAAAAATTCTATCGAATTTTACTTTTGTCTCATAACTTTCGGGTTTGGATTTAATGTAATTCTACCTATTTGTAAATACAATGTGTGTATACTATTAATTGTTTCGCCGAATCTCAATATATACATAATATTTTATTGTTATTTATTTTTCAAATTATTATTAAAGACACGTCCCTTGTACCATTTTTTTTTTTTTTAATAAATATTATAAAGTTAATTGTTTTATTAAGGACTTAAATGAATATTTTTAACTATTTTTACGAGATAAAAACACTAATATATGTTCATAATATTTTAAGTATTCAATTAAGTGTATTAAGTTAAGTTTTATCGCTATTCTCAATTCAATCGATTGATTTGAATATGAATGAAAATTTTGTGGTTATACGATAACAACATATTGAAATAAAACAATTGTATTATTTTCTACGATTAAGTTAAGGATGCGATTAGCGCGACATTTATTATTATTATAATATAAGTGTCTATAGTAAATTATGATAAAAAAATTATTGTTAAGGTTGTTTATGTCAGAAAAATTGTTAATGTTTTACTCGTTTATGTTACCATATTAATTATTATAATTGCCACGTGGAAAAATTTATTATATTTTAATATATTTTGTTTGAAAAAAAAAAATGCTCCTCTAAGAAAATAAATTATTAGAGATGTTCTATCAATTCCACGTCCAAAAATTATTTATACTTGCAACGTGTCGAAAACATTATGTATTTTCATTTTATTTTTTACCTAGTTTCCATTCCATTGCGTTGGACTGTAAATTTTCAATAAAGACTGAAAGAATTTTGGTATAGGTAGCTAATATTATGCAAGGGTGACATTTATTTGTCTACATAATATAATCTTGCTGGCTTGAGATAATTATAACGCAATGTTTTAATGGAAATTTGAATGATTTGGTCAAATAAAGACTAATGACATTATTTTTGTATGTATTTAACAAAGTCTTTATAATTGCCAAAATATGATATTTATGTATAAGTACGCTTGTTCATATTATTAATAATTATATTAATTAACGTTAACTTAGTTCTCTATTGTATTGTAATAATTTTCACCCGTTCAATATATTAAATCGGTTAAGTTACAGAATAATTGTTTTGTACCGAGTTGTGATTTAAATATTCTCTGACCAAATGTGAATCATCGGTTTTCGATGGAGGCAAAGTTCTTGGTGGTAAAATTTTAGATGGGATCCTACTCGTATATCGATACGCTTAGTTTGTATTGTCAAAGAATAACCGATAGAAATTCTTAAAGGCTACACTGTGCTGGGCCTTTACTCGAAGGATGTGCAAAGTAATATCGCGTTCAACACCACAGTTTACAATGTTTATAACGATAACTGAAACAACATCAATGGCACCCGTCGACCACTTTTGTTCGTTGTATAAAGTGCATTTTGGAAAACACATAGTGATGATAATGTATGCCTGCTGTTTTTTATTGTTCGTAAATTAACATGCATTGTACTCTTGTTAAATTAAAAATACATTTTAGCTTTTAAGATTGTAAATATGTTGAGAAAATAATATATAAGTATAAATTATTATTTAAACTGATGCGACTCATTTCATCAACCTAAAATATCGATTCATTATGATTACAAAAACACGTGACATCAAGTAATTATTTGCATACATTTTTAAATTATTCCCTTGGTTTTCAAGAAAATAAAAATGTTATTTTTGACGGCCTGTTGGGTTACATCGAATAAACGACCTGTATCCGTGTTACGGCTGTCATGCTCGGTGAAATGTGAAACAAAAGTGACAAACGGTTTTTTTGCGTTCTCGTTAATCACCTTTTCATTTGCCTATCGATCCACTAAACCCAACTGAGCGGTATGCACGCGATGTTCTCTGCAAGAGAATATACATTTTATTTTAATGGTAACTTGTCATCTTTGCCCTGTATATGCGATATAATCGACCCTTAAAAAAAATTGAGTGACCGTAGGTACTCGAACGGTAAATAACTTGTAAAAAATGGATCATTGGCATTGAATAGTTAGGAGAATTAAGTTATTTATTTCAATGGTGATGAGAAAATACACTGTACGAAATGATGCGAATATTCCCATGTCTGTATGATATTTTAAATATACACGTTAATTTTGAAAAAAAATCGTTAAAAAATATAACATATTTATCGCTATTTATCCAAATTTTCTTTTACATTGTACATATTAAAAACTTCGATTAATACAAGTATGTGTAAATTTGGACATTTTGGGTAATTTCGACAACACAAGGGTCACAACACATTATGTCAAAATTACACTATTTGTGTGTAAATTTAACGCGTATACTAAAAATATCGTACTAATGTATGAGAATTTCTTACAGTGCACTCTTTTTTTTTTTTTTTAGTTTTGATTTATTTTAAACGACAATTCAGTAATAACTAAAGATTTTAAAACAAATATTCAACTCGATAACTGATTTCATTAAAAACCTTTCAAAGAGCAAATGCAATTGACAGTTGACATATTTCTGAATTAGTTAAAATTTCACCGAACTGAGGAGAACTAACGTTATGGACCACACGCCTAAAACAATCGTTGCACTGTTGTCAGTACGCGGTTTCCTCGATTTTTTTATCAAAATACCTATTTTTCAAAAGGCTCTTTAGATCAATAAATCTATTAAAACTAAGTGTTCAGACGCAAGTCGATTTAATTTCTTTTAGAGCGTCTCGAGTATCTAAAGTCATAAATGTTTGCTAAACTATATGTTGCTCACAAATATATCACAATAACATAATGTGTTAGGTGTACTGTAGACATTGTAAAAGGTCAACTTAATAACGATGACGACTTTATCTTTATAGTGAGTACATTATGATATTTTATTTGCACAACCGTATCTTCCGTTGCCGTGCCTGCGGGTAATTAAGTTACCCTATTCAACGGCGCCAACGTTATATCGTTGCTTTTGAAACAAATTTAGTAGCTGTGTCATTTTACTTTGGAAACTTCCAATCTTTCCGCCTTGTCGTGCTAAACGCCATTTACCAATCTACGACCCTTCTAGCTGTCGGCCACTTTCCGTCCGAAAGAGAAAACGTCAAGTTGACGATGATGAACTAATTGATATTAACTGTGCGTACCCAAAACTTGGGAAACTCTAACGGCCATTACTACGACGCATACGAAAAATTACCTGTTCGCATTTTCCTAGCTAAAAGCAAAATTAATAAAATACATTGGCAAAAATAAAAGTCTTTCGTCTTTAAATAAAGTGATTGCGTAAAATAAAAAAATCCATTTGTACTTCTAAATTGCCAAAGAAATATATATTTTAGAGAAATCTTTAAACATAACGTTCAGTGAACATAAATCAGCTTAAATTATTATCAATAACGTATTTTGAGAGGGGAGTAATGGTCCTGGGCAGCACATTTTAAGCGATACCTTTAATATTGGTATTAAAGGTATACCTAACAAGCTAATGGCTTTTGATATGTTTAGAAAAAATCAAATTATCATAAAATTACCCATAAAAATTAAATAAGATAAAATAAGCATAGTCAGTATCCACCGTTATGGAGTTGAGACAACCGTTTTTATTTTTTTTATCATATATCGTAAATATAATAAACTTAAATTTTAATGGAATTTGGAATGATGTAGCTATGTTGATACCATGCAAAAACTACAAAATCAGCCATTTTTACCGAAAATTGTATCATTTTTGGCTTTAATGACCAATAAATAAAGTTTTCCGATAATTTTTCTATTTCAACTTGAATTGTAATAGTTTTAATGTCATCTAGGTTTAAAGAAGACGGGGTTTTTGAAATAATAATAATAATTGAAAAAAAATCTATCGACATTATTTTTAAGTACCCTAAATACTTAAGTTTTGGAAAAATTATTTTTATTATGGACATTTTTTCTAATCATTACACTTACAACTTTAACTAGATGAAATTTAGGGCATATTATAAGTAAAAACATTTATACTTTGACAAAATACTTATACTTCGATTTACAGATTTTCCATAAGTACAATCTGTAAATATTCTGATATACAGAGTAATTGTTTAACTATAACTCCACAAATCCTTTAAAAATATAACATTATATTTTCTCGTCGGAGGTTAATAATATCTTATGTTTTATAGTTTTTTTAAATTAACTTGTTCCAATCACCCCTCATTTCATCTTTAAAATTTATTAAAATAAGTTTTTCAAACTTAAATATACCCTTAATCAACTAAGAACTATAAAATAATCTAAGTAAAAAAATTACTGGTTAATAACAACTTTTATACCCATATTTTGGAAGATATTAACACTGTAATGTAAAAATAGAAAGTAAAGAGTAGGTCTGTTATTTTTATATCTAAGTATTAAAATACCGCACTATTCCATCCGCCAGTTTTATAAATGCTAATATTTTTTTAAATAGTTTTCCAAAAGTGCGACTTTTAACCTAATATCACTAATCGACTAGTAATTTTCTCAGACAAATTATTTATTAGTTTGTTGTTGGTTAAAAATATCCAAAGTAATACAAATTTAATAAGACACTTATTTTTTTATTAACTTTTGAGAATTTTAAATTTTCATAGATAGAAAAATGAATTGGCTCAAAAAACACATTGAAAATATACAGTTTAATAATTTTTTCTATCCCTACAGGGATAGAAGCCTTAAATTCAATTTTCTAAAAGGGTCCTCTATTTTTAACTTGATAAAAAAAAAATTACAAATAATTTTTATTTTTTATCCAATGGCCGTTTATACATTAGAGTGTTTTAAATACATCATTAGGGTATGTAACACGGACTAAGTACACTTACTGTACGCTGCCGTATTAAAGGTACACTCAATCGCACTACGTGTATCCGCTCAAAAGTCGCTATCAAAGTGTAATGAATGAGCACAAAAAATACTTTATGATTCATAAATTGAAAAAAAAAATTAGGATTTAAATAGTTAACATCACTGGGGATGCAACATAGCTGAAACAAGTATGGATGATATTTGTCAGAGATTAACATCACTATTATAAAAAATGCATCAATGCGATTTTGTAAAATTTTTCTGTTGAAATAGTGCATTTTAATGTTAAATAACTCACTCGTAAAAAAAATATCGTTGGAATGCTTTTCTTATTTTAATCATAAGGTTTACTTCAAAAGCTTTAATTTGATAAAAGTTAAAAGTTGTCAGACGTTCCGGAACATTTTCAAACCCTTCCTGTACTTAGGTTTTTGATTGGATTTTCATAAAAAAACATACCAAAAAAAAAAAACTTTTTCTGCTTCAAGCAAAATAAGCTTAATTGTCTGTAGTATATTCTATTCAAATTCTATTGGAAACAGGGTTTAAAAAATGTTATAGCAGATTAAAAACACAGAAAAAATAATTTTGAAAATGTCATTTTTTACGGTAACATAATTTGGAGACATTTGTTTAAATGTCTATAATTGATGGCTTTTTCAAATATTTGACACTGATTGGTTCAACTAGATTACATTTGAATTCTTTTGACACATAGATCAACAAAATCGGTCCAGTAAGAGCTGAGAATTTTCACGGATAAACAAAACAAATACGTTCTAATAAAAACCAATACCTTCTCAGCTTCATATCGATTTTTTTCGGTTAATTAATTGGCTCATGATGAAAAAATCGACCTGTGCTTATTTCTTACGAGCATACCCTTATCTCTATTCAAAATCCATTTGAATCGCCTATTTGCGCAACTTTATTGCTCCACGAACATCAATTTCGACGATAATTTTAAATGATCAATTTTTATAGCGACTTTTACAGCATTATCATTTAATGGTCATCCATTTTGATTAGCATATTTTAAGCATGTTCAATTGCTACCGTTTTTCGGTAACATTTTCGTCTAATTAATATCCACTCTCCTAATCATATTTTAAACAATTTAACTGTTCATTTTCAGCAGCATTCCAAACAGCGTGTCCATCTTATTTGCATCCACTTTCATGAAAGTATTTTAATCATTATAAATTTCCTTTTCAATAGTTTTGCTAATAATATTCTAAGGAAATTCACAGCCATTTTCATGAACATTCTTTAAACATTATTAATGGCCATACCATCTGCATACGAAACGTCTATATAATGTAAAATACATTAATTCTCACGAGTTTATTTAAATAATCTAAAAATCCATTTGCCCATATAAAACACAAATCTGTAATTCTTTTTTCATCCAATCTAATATGAATAATGACAACTATAATCGATTAAATAAGAAACTGTTCAATTTTTTAATCCGGTTGATAGGACTACCCATAAGTCAAAAGTTAACTAAATAATGAGAAATTTAGCCATTTTGGTCTATTGCCACAACATACAAAGTGTTGGTCTAATGTATATCACGAGAAGTAATAAAATCTAACGAAATCAAAATCTAAAGTCAAAAATAAACATCACCGCGGTGTATTCCACAAAGTTATCATTCAAATTGAGTGGTCACTCGATTTAGTGTAAATTCACCTCCTTGCATGAAATTTGGAATCAAAGTTCAGCGAAAATTAACAGACTCGCAGA